ACTTTTCACCGATGAGGTGAAGAAGAACCTCCTAGCTTGTTTACTGATATTACATCCGTTTAATATATGGCAATGCCTCTTCACAGGAAAAAAAATAAAAAAACACTTCTTCTGTCAAGTACTTCCCTTCTCCTTAAAAAAATAATTTCCTAAACTATATCTCTATGCCCCTTCTTCTTCTCCATTTCCCCCAATTAATTTTAGCTCTTGCCCGTCCGTTCTCCTGGCCTGCTACCTCTGTTGCTATTCTCAAACTACATCTACACCGTTCTTTTGTTGAAAATTCTGAAAAACCCTAAGCTGCAAGCAATCCACCTCAACATCACGCATGTCCTATGGAACAACGATGCTGCCTCAAACTTAAAACTCTTCAATGAAGTTACAGTGCCCAAAGAACATAAAGAAGACACAGCCCCAGAACCTAAATCCAACATCAACTCAAGCTAGCTCATCGCAAGCCCCGAGAAACCAAGGCTGATCTAATCAACAAGAAACGATCCCACCAAATTTCACAAAGAATGCGTCTCAATCTTCAAGAATCAACATACTGAACAACAAAATAATCCAATATTTAGCGCCTAGAAAGTGAGGGGACGCAGGAAGAACACACATACCGAAGAGCACGAGAGAAATCTTTTCTTGAAAACAACTTAATCGAGCTTCCGCTGATCTCGAAATCCGCCCACCGCAAAGCCAACGAGGGGAATAGGGTTCCTTCCCCGTATCCCCCGCTCTGCTCCAAGAAACAAAAGAGGGGACGGGAAGCAGGAAGACGAGGAAGGGGACACGGGTTTTCTTTTTCTTGGCCACGGAGATTAAATTGGTGCGGTTGGACTCGACTAGTTAAACCGGTTCGGGACAAATGTCGGTCAATTAAACCGATTCGACTTTGGATCGGTGAAATCGTACGAGGAGTTGGAATCACTCTTAATTAGCTTAATAAATGAATAAAGAAAGAAAGATAAAGTTAAACTATGTCACATTGTATTAGATCCAATCGACCCACCTCAGTCTTCCACGGATCACATTGCACCACACATCCCTATCTCAAATAACAGGTTAGGGCTAAGGCACAGCTTATGGCTTATGGGTTATGGGTTGGATCATGCCTAAACACATTGGGTGAGTCATAACTAACCATAATGACCAGATGTTTGATCATATAAGTTAAGTCATATATTATCATGTGAGCTAAGTTATATTGTAACATATCTAGCTATATGCACTAAGTCCTATATTGTCATATGAGTTAGGTTATATCTAACTATATGGGTTGAGTCATACTTAATCATATGGGTTGAATCATACCTAATCGTATGGGCTAAATTATAATTGACTATATGTACTAGATTATACTTGACCATATGGAATGGTCTAATTAATTAAATTAATTAAGGTCAGATCATGAACTCTTTTATTAAATTAGATTTAAATATTTTTAAAAAATACTTTAAAATATTATAAAATAAATAATTAATCTCAAATCCATTTATTTTCATGAATCAACTAATTTAGATTTAGGATTTAAGTTTAAAACTAATTAAATCATTGAAATTTATACATAATATTTTGAAACATAAATATACCTAATTAAAAGAATAAGAACTATTATTAAATTAACTAATAATTTTAACATCATAATTTAATTATCATTAGTTATTAATCATAAAATTTCAAAACTAAAATATTATTATGCATTATACAAAGTATAATAATTATAATATTAAAAAAATTAAAATATAAATAAAAGCTAAAAAAAATAAAATATCCTATCTTTCCTCGGGAATCATCTCATTAATCCTCCCTCGATGAATAACAAGGGAGAAGGAGCTCTTTATACAAGAAAAGAAAAGAGAAGTTATCCCAAAAAGGTAAATGATATAATTATAATATTTATTCATTGAACTATTTACTTTCTAAAAATCATATCACCCATCAAAAATTAATTAATTAATAAAAGAAATTAATTTATCCATATGATTACAAATTATTTTAATTAATTTTAATCATACTACATAAATAAAGAAGTTAATAATTTAAATAGAATAATATATGATTTATTACAATTTAATTTATATTAAGGGAGCAAAATTATCGATGATGATGATTACAATGTAAAATGAAAGACATGAAAATTACAAACAAGAGTTATCTATCGAAGCGATGATCGACTCCTTGTGCCCTTTTTCAATCGAGGAAAGTTTCCTACCAACTCATTTGATTCATTGTTCCAATTATCACAGACTCATTAGGATATCTTTATTTTATGCCTCATACACATAAGACTCATATAAAACTGTTGTAGAAATCATATAAAATCTTTAGACAAGACTTTGACCATGTGAAGCTTCAAGAGGGATATCCCTAGCTTGCCATTTCTTCTATATCCGAATTCATGCTATCCTTCCCTTTTAAAGGGTATTCATTTGGTAATTCAATTTCTTGATAATAAACTATGATTCATTTATGTGGTTTTATGCCGGTCAATGTTTCTTATAAGAATTGAATTTTGGTCTGAATTGGGTAATAAGAAATTCTTGGTGTATAATTGGGATTTTAGTTGTATCTTAAATCCGGAAGATAAAAAAGGGTGGATCAACTTTTAAATTAAATTATTTTGTTAATTCTTTTTTTTTTCTAACTTGGTTAATTCCTAAATTACTTGATTTAGGGTTATTAGTGAATCTTATACTTGGACTAATAATTTAATAGGATTAAGAGAAAATAATACCAATTAGATAAATTTATTTAGATAATCAATTGTTTCCCATCTCGCTCGTGTTTGCTCGGATCATACGGAGGTCACTTAAGTGGTGCTACTTGGATTATTACTAATAATCTAGGTTCTATCATGCAAGGATTCATAGAATATTAGCTAGATGAAATTTGTATTATTTTGAAAATTAGGAAGAAAATTATTCTAAGGTTTTTAATCAGCTCTCCACCGTTGAAAATAAGGACTCCACTTATGCTTATCCAATAATGAAAAACTACACCTAACGTGGCTTAAAAATCAAATTCAAGTTTTAATTTGACAAATAAATCAACTTCAACCCTAAAGCCTTCATGTGTGTTCTCTTTTAAATGAAGCTCGTTAATTATTAAGATTTTATTTTATTTTACAAAGGTCAACCATTATTCTTTTTCGAATGAAGGAAATAATCTTTACGCTCGTTTGTTTTTACATATGATCTCATCTTCTATAATTTAAAATTATAATCATAATCATATTATAAATATATACTCTAATAATATTATTATTAAAAAAATTAAATTTTAGGTGATATTATTTATGCCTTAGGTGGTAATAGACGGTACCATTGTTAAAAAGATTGATAAAGTATAAATAATACTCATCGATTGACTCAAGTAATATCATCACTTGGGCCTAGTGGTACCATCGCATAGGTCTGGTTTAAGCAATTAATTTAACTTTCTAACGAGCTAAATTCGACCTGGTTTTAAGCTTAATAATTTTCTTGACAAGTGAGCTTTGTTTTTTACTCACTATTAGCTTAAATTAATTCAAAACAATCTTGATTAAGATATTGATAAATCAACCATACATTTGATACATTTACGAAGCTTTCGACATATTGTATGGTCTTTCGATATATCATTCAATCTTTCGGCACTTCGTCTAAATTCGTCCAAATTTTCAGTACATCGTTTTTTTCTTCGGTATATCGCACGTTCCACCGACATATCGACTTTCCCATGATATTTAATCTTTTGATATAATATCTAATCCTTCTAACATAATATTCGAACCTTTAGCACTAAGTCCAATTTTTGGCACATCAATCGACCCTTTGACTTGATATTTAATTTTTGATATAATTTTTCAGTGTAACGTTTGATTCTTTTACTTAATAGTTAGCTCTTTAGTGGTCTAAGTAGAAGTATTTTCTATGTCACTTATCTCAAATGCATATTAGTCTAATAAATTAATTGGTTTCATCATCTAAGTTTAGGATTCGAACCATTCATTCTTAAGCTAATGAAATATTATAAACTCGAATAGATTGAGTCTCCTCTTTTTTTTTTTTCAATTTGATTATAATTCTAAGTTAGAAAAGAGGAAAGATCTTTTTATAAAAAGAAAATATAAAGATTATCTTTGAATTCTAAAAAAAAAGTTATAATAAAGATAATTGATCATCGCATCTTCAAGAAGTTCGGTAATAAAAGCATGTACTTAAAGATCATGTCTTTCATTGTAAAATGTATTTAACAAAGGTGTCGAAGCTTTTGTATACTTCAACTAATATTTTGAAGAACCTTACGCATAACATGTTTGATAGCATGAACTTCAACTTTAAAATTGATAACATAAGTATGTTATATATCATATTTTTTTAAGTATAAATATTATTAAAAAAAATATTCTTAACTAATTATAACATATACATATTATTTATACTTTCATTTATAACTATAACATGTCAGAGAACTTGACACTATACTGTCGACCTCCCTTTACTTATAGTAATCAAGGGGATAACTCCTTACTAGAGAAGACGAACATTTAATTAGAGTCTAACTCAACTCTTAGACTTGTAATATAAAATCTCTTCAGTTCAAATACAAATACAGAATGGAAAGAGGTGATCTCTACTGCACTGATAAAAGGGATCCAAGAGCTATAAATTGGTATAGATGCGAGGAAAGGGTCGAACTACTAAAGTCTAAACAAGAAGGAGCAACCAGCTCTAGTTGAAACCAATATAATTAATCCTGACAGAAAAATGGAAACGAAAGAGGAGATATCATTTTGCAAAAGAACAATATATGATCAATGTGTGGGTACCAACAACACCTGCTTCAAGATCCTTAAGAGGTCTTATTCTCCGTATATTTCTGTTTCTGGTCATCCAAATCCAATGAACAATTAATTAATTAGTTATGTCAGAAACGAAGAACTAAATGATCACTTTCTAATATAATCACAAACCAGATTTGTCCATTTTGAGGCACCTAATATGTTCATCCAACTCAAATTTACAACAAAAAAAGATGATGCGATTGGTCCAGGGAATAATCCTCAATGTTCAAACAGTAAGCCTTTGGGAGTTCAGTCAAGAATATCCTTTTATCTCGTACCAGTCGATCGAAATCATAACATGATACAAATAGATTCCAACAAGCAATATAAACTTTAAATGCTCGTTACACGATAAGCTTCCTGTGAAGGTGCTCCCCTGTTGAATGTTGATCGCCATCATGATCGTGGAAGATCAGTGTAAGTATTCCAACCAGGACAAGCACTGAGCCAACGAGAAGCTTGTCATTACGTTCAACCCAGTTAAACTTGAGCTGGCTGGCGCCGTAAAATGAGAGGGCCACTAGGGACGTCATGACAGTGATGGTGCTGCAAGTCCAGGAAAGGAATTTGTAAATAATATCACCAGCCCTCGAAATTGGGAGAACATACGAAAAGACGAAGCTATCAGATGTTCTAACATACAGCACATTTTATCATAATAGTGACACCTCAAAAAGGATATGCAAGTTGTGTTCAGATGCCTAACCTGTCTACATATTTGAACCAGCTACCATCGGTAAGTGGTGCTGGGTTAACCTTTCATTGGCCCTTTTTCCTTGTTGAACATGAGATGTGCTCCCTATTTGTTTAGTAGATATTTTCTTGGTGGTATATTGCAAGTATTAAAATGAGGCAGAGGAAATCAACAAGAGAATGATTGATGAGAGCAACACTGACAGAGGGGGTCCCAGGTGTGGGGGAGCTGGAGGATGTCAATGAGGCTAGCAAGTAGGAGATGGAGCTGGTCTAGGCCATTGGGTAGCCAATGGCCCATGGCAGAGGAGGGGGAGGGGCTATTGCAGTTCTAAATAAAAAACAAGCAGTATTAAATAAATAGGTCAGTTTTAGACAATAGGTTTATTATCTGATATAGCTCGATATAGGTATAAGTTTATTGCTCAATAAGTCCGGTAAGGGCTTATTACCGTCCACTACAGCTCCATATGATAAGCTTACTGTCTGATAAGTATGGTGTGGTACCAATACTTATTGGACAGTTAAACCTAGTTCCAATCTATACCAGGATTCAAAACAGCATGAAGTTATACGGTCAGAGTATTGGTTTACCATTGGACTGTTAACCATTGATCGATACCTAATGATACACATGAAATTCTTGGTCACATGCTTCTAACACAGATTTATCAGTGTCTTTAGTATTAGGTCCATACCAAACGATACACATGAAATTCTTGGTCTCATGCTTCTAACACAAGATTTACCAGGGTCTTTAGTATCAGTATAAACAATCCAGGTATGCCTAAGCTTAGTGGAGCTGCATAACAATGAAGCATGGAACGCATTTTTTTCTTAGATTGGTACCATTGTATCCGGATATACATTCAGCAAGAGTGCTTCCACTGTTCATGCTAAACAAGTATAATGATTCATAAGATAACTACAACAGTGGACTGGAATATGTTTAACCAGTTCTTATGGCAATTATTACCAAAATTGTTAAAACCGGCAGCCTTCATAGCTAATATAACTTCCTGGTGAACCACCGATGATTCATTTGCTTTTCAAAGGTGGAAAATCACAACATCCTTTCAAGCAAAGTGATGTAAATTCTGTCTGGATCACTGGACATGGACTGAGACTTGGAAGTGAAGTTTGAAGGCTTTAAATTTGAAAGGTGTAGTTTTTATTGATAAAGAGAGCCTTAAAGTCATTTGCAGGAAAATGAGAAAGGGACAATAGTTATATGACTTTGGCAAACTCTACCTTGGTGGTCTTCAGATAATTAGGCATTCCCGGATAAGACAACTCACAAGGAACTTCACTTCAAAACACTCTTCTTCGGTGTTACTTACCGATTCTAATTAAAAAAACAGACCATAGATTGCAGGATCTCCACATTTAAATCCAAGATGCATACATACTGTAGCATTAATTAATGATCAGTAATCAAGAACTACAGCAAATAATCAAGTGTTAAGGGTGAAGAAGAGCAAAAAATAGCACATAACTTAAGGAGAAATTGCTGATGGAAGACAAACTACTTTCAACAACAAAAGAACCCTCATGTAAAACTTAATGAATGGGGAGCTGTGAAATGAAAGTTTACATCTTCTCGATTATTTTGTAAATCTAATAAAGCATACCGAATAAAGAGCATAACTTATTTAGTCAATGCACTATCTAGATCCTCTTAATACAAGACTAGTAGACCTGAAATCCATAATATGCAGAACACAGTCTTTTATTAGTTGGCAAAGAAGATTATATTGCAATTCCTGATCTTGAAACACAGCTAAAAAGGATTTACTTCAATGCAAACCTATTACAATTCAGGGTCACAACTATTATGTTTCATTTGCAACTTATTAGGTCAAGTTAAGAATGGCTTACCTAAACAGAAGCACAATAATAGCTAGAACCATCATAGACGATGAGTTACCAACAGCAAGGAACACAGGAAGTGTTGTTGCACAAGGAGATAATGCGGGTACAAGAACAAGGCCAGCAACAGCCATTTTCTCCATTGAATGGTTGTGAGAGTGACCGTGGCCTCCCTTTCCGAATAAAAAAAGAAGAATGTAACCTCCTCCAAGAACTATGAGCAGCAGCGAAGCAAGCTTGTGAACTGTTTCTTCACCAGCAATTGTATTAGCCATGGTGATTGCAGTAATGCCAAGCAGTGAAGTAGATATCACATGCAGGACTGCTCCAAATATGGCTGTTGAGCATAGAGAAAGAGAAGTGATTCTTCTTCAAAATCATAAAAAGGAAATGCAGATTAAAAAAATTGGAAGACTGTAGATTGAAAAATAAAATGTAACTCAAGCAATAACAACTGCGAAATGAAACATAAATTATTAATCCTATAACAGAAACCCATATCTATATGCCGATCCTTCCAACAATGACCATTCCAGGACGGAAATTATATTGCTTCAGGTGATTAAAATGGAGAGTGAGGGTGATTGAATCCAAACATGCAGAAGGATGGCAAGGCAGTGACCACAACCAGATATCATTTATTAACGAAATCCAGAAGAAATGGATCAGATTCCATGCATTAATTCCCTAAATTGGCAGTAGCATATGAAGATATTAATGTTGTAAGCACCATGATGATTTTACATATCATGGCCAGTTTATACATGGTACACATATTTTAAACAAACAATCAGATCCATGGCCTTTTTAGGATGCGAACATGGAACTGCATTAGGGTTGTCAAACCTTTTGGTTAATGTATCAAACTTGATCATGCTATCTACTTAATTTTCTTCTTAGTTCTTAAAACTGGTAAGATCTAAAGGATTTTAAAGGGGACAACCACTCACTGACAAGAAGAGTGCGGGGGAGGGTCCATTTCTGGGCGCGGCCGACGACGGAGAAGGGGAGCCAGTGGGTGGGGATGAAGGAGTGGAGCAGGGAGACGGTGGCGATGCCTCCAATGGTGGGGAGATCCTCCGCACTGATACCCTCCATTTCGAACCCCTATCCTCTCAAGATCTACAGATCATCCTGCGGAACCGCCTCCATATCCTGAGATCCGACCGAGAGCTCGCCTCAGGACTTCCTTCTCTTCGACCGGAGCGCAGAGATCGAAGATTCCTCGCGATGCGGCACGGATCGAAGTGCGGGCGCGAAAATGGAGAGCGAGCAGTGTCTGCCACCGGTGCCGGCGGAAATAAAAATAAGCTCGCTACGGGCAACCCCCATTTTATCATTAAAATCTATTACTATTTATTTATTATCATTTAAAAAATAATATAATATAATTTTATTATTTATAATCCTTCAATTATCAATCATATTTTTATCCCCGCAGCATTTTATTACATTCATTTATAATAAATACTTTGAAATATTAAAAAATTATTAAGATAGACTATAAATTGTAACAAAAGTAATGAATAGAAATCTAAAAAAAAAAATTATATATATATATATATATATATATATATATTCTTTAATTGTTCTAAAGATTCCCGTCACACTGCGTGAGAGTAAGAACACAAAAATCCCGAAGATTTGACGCCGACTAGTTTGGTTTGTCGCTGAAGTGGTCCGCGGTAAGTACCCCGGACAAAGGACAGATGCCTCAAAACCACGTATGCTATGAACATTCGCATCGATTCTTTCCTCCACAAAGCACATTCATTGTATATGCGATAAATATATGCGACAAGATTCCCGTCACATTGGTGGGAATAAGAACGGAATTTGACGCCAAAAGGAACTACTTGGGCCGGTTTGTCGCTGAACTGGTACGCGGTAAGCGCACCCGGCAGTGAACAGACCCTCACCTTGTGGGCGCGAGGCGGTAGGAGACGACGATGACGGTATGTACAATCGCATCAATTATTTCGTTGACTAAGCACATTATATACAATCTTCAGAGCAGTATCAGGTGACAACGATGACGGTAACAGCGGTAGTGAGACAGCAGCAAGAGGTCGATGCGATCAGGCCTTCGGCGGCTTAATGTACGGACGGGCTCCGACATAGTTTCCCGGCGGGTAGTACTCGCAGACGATGAAGGTGTCGCCGCTGCTGCAGACGATCTTGGCGCAGCCCAGCAGCTCCGTCGTGCGCCACACCATCTGCGTGTAGTGGGTGCAGTCCGGGCCGGCGCAGGTGTTGGTGTCGTAGCGGTACCACTGCTTCTCCTCCACCCACTTGGCCACGGCGTCCGGGATAGCCCACCGCCTCCCCTGCCCCCAGAAGATGTTCTCCCCGTAGGCGTACCCCGGCGAGTGCACCAGCTGGCAGTCGCCCCGCCGCTGGTTGGCGTACGCCCTGGCGAAGCTCGCCAGCTTCGCGTCCCACCTCAGTGGCGGCACCCCGACCTGCTGCCTCGCCTCGTTGTGGGACGCCAGGAACTGGGAGATGACCGTCGCCGAGCTGACGCCGTCCGGGCTCGCCGTGTCGGTGGTCGAATTCTGAGCGCCGGTGACGATGATGTAGTGGATCGTTAGAAGCTGTAATACGACGACGGAAACTAAACAGGCCATTTTCTCTTCTACAGCGACTGGTTATGAACACAGAGAGAAGAGAGGAATGAGAAAACTTCTTCCATATGTTCACATATATAAAGGTTTCTGTTAAGTGATGGATGGTGGATTGGTATCAGGTCAAGTCTGCGCCTGTTTGATTAGGAAGACAAGCAAGACAGCGGAATTCTGCTTGTGGTCTTCGAAGGTTATCGGATGCAGGAGTGGGATGTCGCTGATGTGGTTTTCTTCAGCATGGGCATAACTTGTTCTAAAGGACTACTCAATCATAAGGGATTGCTTGATGTAGGGAGGAGAGGAGCACATGGCTGTGACTCTAAATAATTAGCAGGAAGTGGATTTCATGTGTGCAGGGAAGGCAAGGATTGGGGAGCAAACCTCGGATTGGCCAGCCGTGATTGCTGAAGAGTGAAGAAGAGTGAAGGCACAGCATAAGAAACATGCATGCATCTGGACGGGCAACTCTCTGGTCGTTTATGGTTGAAGCAGTGAGGATAATAGATGAGATAATAGTTACTTGTGTAATAGACGATGTCCAAAATGAGCTTGCATGAGATCAAAGTTGCAAGAGGTGCTACCACAAGATGCAAAGATTTAGAATGTCCAAAGGTTCATAAATGAAATAGCAAGGAGACTTCTGCAGAGAAAGCAAAGGTTGAAGGAGAGATTAAAACAATGAGGAGAAAAGATACTTATGGGGTGTCATTTGCGCTCCTAAAAATGGGACTTGATGGAGCACAGAAGTCTACAGCTTGTAAAACTCAGATCAATGGCAGCCGACCACAACCAAATGATGATGATGATTATTAGTCTACAGGAAGCTAAAATCCTGGAAATCTTCCAAATTTTGTTCCTGTCTGCAAACGTTCCAAGTAGGTGTAGAGTCTGAAAAATCAGGTTATCTCGGAGTTTTCTTGGACCTTGAATCCTTGGTTTGGAGCACATCAACCGGGTTAAATGCTGAGATGCTGTTTTGTAAATAACTACAAATCTGGGTTTGGCTTAGATTTCAAGATAAAATGGTGTCAGTCTATTTAACACCAATGAGTGCTGACCAGTGTAAATAGATATGCTGTTTTGATGGAAAGCAGTTCCTGACAGACCTCTCAAAAGTTCTTCAAAGTTAAAATGCAACTTTCAGATTCAAAGAACAGTTTAAATAGAGTCAGTCGACACTAAATGAGGATGATAAATGCAAAGTACACAATTACATTTCAAAATCATTCGACAAAGGAAGACTTCCAAGTAATCCCAACATACAATACCCTTTTACATCACAGACATGGACATAATCTGATGTGCAAGACCTGGGTCTTGCTGAAGCAACTCTCTCAGGTTGTTCTCCACCTCGGCCATTTGCTTCTCCAGGTACTCTTTCGAGGTCTGCTCAGGGAAAAAAAGGATAAGGGAAGGAAAGGACGACTGAGTGAATGAGTTAAAAGTTGCTTTTGTTTCCAAAAGATACAGCAAAGAATTGACAAACCTGCAAAGAAGTTATGGCAGTCTCACTGTCTTTGTATTTCTGCTCTTGCTCATTCAGCATAAGTGATTTTGGTTCCAAAACAAACCTGGAATATTAAGAAATCACTTGGTGCCATAACATAAATGATGTTCTCGTTTAATATATTGAGAATAACTTTCCTCAACAAAAGGTTGTGGTTTAGGAAGAACTCACGCTTTACCTGCAAAGTAACAAAAGCACCATTAGAATTGGCGCATGGGTAATGTTCATGGAGAAGTAATCAAGCTATGTGCTGATAATTGTCTCTTAACTTGTTTATTAATTTAAAAAAAAGGGTGGCCTTATTCAACCTATCTACTATTATTTGCTAACATCTTATCATGGTGGATGTATTTTTCATTTTTAGCATGTTCCTGTTTAGTATGGAGTAGACTCAGCATCTTCATAAAGTCCAGGGTATAATGCTAGGCAGAAAACACATGTAAACAGACGAACATTCAAAACAAGACCACACCAATACCTGTGTACCATGCATTAATATACACATGCACTCTTTTTACTAACTAATCCGAACTTTGACGAAAAAAAAAATAATGACACTTTTTGGTCATTTACCTATGGAAATGCAAACAAAAAGAGTCGCAGGATCTTCAATCTGAGATTTTTCTATCCAAGTAGGATTTACAATACAATTTCATTTGTTTCTTAAATTTTTTTATAATAACACATTAAATATTTTGCAAAATAACGCATTGATATGATGGTCAAATATTTATTGGAATGGGTTACAATGCATCTTTTTTCTTTTTTCCATAAATTTGTTTCAAATACTTTATAATCTCTCTTTGCAATATTGAATAGGGTAAAAAAGCAGAGACTCCTGGCACCTAATTCATGGCATACGAAACTTTCTATGTGAAAATTGGCTGTGTACACAAATTCATGTCCCTATCTGTTCTTGACCAACCCAAAACACAACCAAACACAACTTGAGCATCGGTCAGGATTGGGTTGGCCCCTTAGTTTTGCAGGTTGAGTTTGAATTCCAAGTTAAGGCATAAGCAAAAGGAGTATCCATAGAGAAGAGCGAAAATAATCATATAATGTTTTAAGAATTATGATGTTGTTGTTGTTCCAGTTGCATAAGTGGTTTTGCTCTTTCAATGTTTAGGCACCAACACTATATGGAAGGTTCATTATGGAGCAACTACAAAGATCAACTCTTGAGAAAAGTAGTGCATTAACATAAATTTCTGGTACTACAAAATTATAAATTGCTGGCACTACATCATAAATGAGAAAATTATAAAAGGTGTCTAGGAAAGATACAATAAAAAAATGCTAGATTAATACGGGAGCATCATGTTTACAATTTAGGTTTGGAAAAATTGAATACCAATGGACTTGTAGGTATTTGTATCATCTGATAGCTGCCGAAGTTCTTCCATTGTTAGGTAGGCACGCTTCTTTTCACCTTCTTTAGCACGAATCTGATTTTGTACCTACAAGAAATAGAGACTATAATAAAAGTCTAGTAATGTGTGCTATATCCAGCTGTATGTGTGTCACAAATTACTCAGTTGATGTTTGTGTATATTAAATGATATTTTCTATTCAGAGAAACATTAACTAAGTATATCGAAATAAAAAATTTACATAGAAATCTAAATCATAGATAAGCATTGAACACAATCTATTCCACGAAGAATGCAGCCTCTCAGCTCTAATCATTTTTTTTAATCATTTCAATGCATATTTAAGCCACCAAGTGCCTATACTCTTCAAATGAACAAATGCAAAGAACTAATCCATAGAACTAAAATAACCTCCTGGAGTGGAAGCTAAAAAGAAAGATCACACTCAAACGATTCCTATTTCCCAAGTACATTAGCAACACTGATTCGTTCTCACTCCAATCTCACATCAGACAACCTAAACCTCAGAATGATCGAGAATCCACAACCTTTTGCATAATGACATAAAAAATTACTATTCTATTGTCCACAGAAACCCTGATCTAGTACCAGATGGAAGTATAAGTTTGATTAACGAAGAAAGATGCAAACTTTGCTTCGTTCATGAAAAATCACACCAAGTCCATTTAATTTTAGCTGTATTAGGAGAAACCCCCCGTAGCATAATACTAATACGAAGTCCACAACGGCCACTAAGAAACATCACCAAGCACATAAATGTCACCAAATCTCTACCAAAACAAATCACCTGCTTTAGCTTCCCGGTAGTCTCGATCATACGGCTTTGGATCTCAATAAACGCCTGGAACAGCCAAGAAAGAATCTTTAATCAGAAGAAATTAAACTCCAGCAATCGATCGAACCTAAGGGAATCCAAGAACCAATGCAAAAACGAAAAGCACACGACAGAAATCGGACGGGAGACGATATGATCGAAAGTACCACTCGATTTGCTTCGTCCGCCATTTTCAGAGATCGACTTCGAGCTCGTCAAGTTCAAGAACCCTAACCCTTGAAAAGAGGAAAAGAAGGGGGAGTGTTGGGCCGTGAGACACCATCGTCTAGTCAATGGGCCGAAGCAATATGGGCCTAAATAAGCAAGTAGCTGCCCCTCTGCTTGAGGATTCGCGCCTGATCAGATTCAGATCAGATCGATGGTTGAAACTAACGCCAATTATTAAATAATATATGATTATGTAAGAATTATTTAAAATATAAAAAAAATTAAAAATATGAATCATTTTTTTGTTACTGAAAAGATTTAAAATATCAGCTTAATGTTCAATTTTGAGGTTTTTAGGTCCTTTTAGATTTTCTATTTTAACACCACAAAGGACATAAATACAAATTGAAGAGGAATTTTAAGTTATTTTTTATTTATTTTAAAATCGTTTTATGTTTGTAGAAAAATAAATTGGTTCATTTAAATCTTTTTCTTTTGTGATTCTTGGAATTCTTTTATTGGAAGGTGACAAATCTTTTGATATTAGTTGAACGGATTGTTAGATTGAACTTCGACAATGTAGTTGAATCAAAAGGATTGGATTAGGTCAACAAATTTCAATAAAACATGTCCTTAATGAAACTAAATGGCGATATCAAATTGTTCATCCAATCCTTTTGTGTAGATCATATTATCTTCATTATTACGAACGTTGTATAAAAGATCAGAAGTTTCATCTTAAAATTATTTTTAAAGTATTAACGATCATATTCAAACTTTACCCCTCTCAATTTTAATTTAGCATACGTGTCCCTCTAAATAGTCAGATTAGGCAACCAATTCTACTTGGTATTAGCTAATCTAAGTGATCATGAAGAGTACAAGTTAAACGAGATTGTACGAACCGCCTTTTCTTATTTATATTATATACAAATAAAAATTATGAATGTATAAGATTTGTTAAGTTGAAATTGGTTTTCCGAGCTACATGATCAATATTGAAGAGTCTTTAAGGAATAAACATTAGGGAGCCCTTTAATAGTAGGCTTTTTCGATCGTTATTTCCTATAATTGACACCGATTGCGTGTAGTGATTATCATACATTTATACAAGACTAAATAACATTTGTATCGTATCAAACCTAATAATTCCTCATTAATTTGCTCAATCTTATTATCATGATCTAACTATTAGTATCGTGTCAACCACATATTAGTCATGTGGCACTGAAGTATGAGCTATATGGCATCAAAGATTTAACTCATGTGGCAATAAGGTATAGATCCAAAGTTGTGTTAAAATGTTAACGATGTAGTATTAATTGAGGTATCAAACATGGTGTTGAGGAGTTGGTCACATCTTCTATTCATATATCTAAGGCTTAAAATTTTAGATTAATATTTTATACGAATTGACAAGGGAATTTTTTTTTGAAAAACTCCTTTTGCGCTCAAAGGTTGTCCTATTAAAAATAACTCCTAAAACACTCTCATGATAATATATCCTAAAACACTCACATGATAATATAACGAATGATATCTATTGAGTGCGCTTTATGGATCAATCCAAATGATTCGGTCCAATTCATTAGTTATAATATTTTGATATAGGTACCTATAAGCATATTAAATAGCTAATAAAAAAATCTTTGTATTTAATTATTTTTATTTCTTGCCCAACAAAGAAACTTATTTAAAATCTTATTTTTTTAGATGAGTTGATTTTTATTGGATTATCAACCCATAATTATAATATTTTTTATATACTAAATAGGCATAATATTTTGATGAAGATAGTCAAACAATATATACAAGGAAAAAGATCATATAAGAGTCCATAATTATAGTATTTCCGTTATAATAAATTAAATAAATTTATGATAAAGATGAAATTAGATCAATTCATTATATGAGCACCATACGATGAATGATTATAACGAATAAGAAATACCACAAATGATGGAAGCTTTTGAAAAATATGAAAGAGGAGACACTTTGAAAAATGCTAATAAGAAAAAAAAAATCATCCGATTGACTATAATAAATATATTATAGTACGCAAAACTGACAGTGATATTTGATACATGGGAGGTTTCATGTGGATTATGGGGAGATCTACTTTGCATGTAGCCAAGTTCTGTTGCCCCCAAAAGTAAAAGCAGGTAGATTTTGCAGATCTTAGAGTTGGAAAGGGGTCAGGCTATCGCGTAGGCGGATTTAGGTAAAGAAGGGCCCAAACAAGTCACCGTACCGTATTGAGCATATTTTTAATGGCCTCAGTGCAAGAGGATAAGGCCACCACGACATGCTCATGGGGTGTGGGTCCCTCTTGCTTTTTAGACCTTATCTTATCCTTCCACCTAATTTAATTCCTACCCGCATCTGCATACCATCTTCGCGCACACAGATTTCCTAATCTTACAAGCTTCTGCTTCTTCTTCTTCTTCTTCTTCGCTCCAACATGCTGTACTACACAATCCATTGCAACAAAGAAAAAAAAGGAAAGAAGACAGAGAGACTTTGTACTGATTTATCTCTGCTTGCCTTCCCACTCACATGTACTTCATATTTTACCAAGTACAACTCAACATATTGCAACAAAGAAAACGAGAGAGACACTAATTACTGGTTAAGAATTCTAAACATGTTGGAGATCAGAGAGGGAGTAGGACCTAGGAGATCTAAACACCTTCATCTTGATGTTGTTATTGCTGCTGCCATGGTGGGAAAAGGAGGAAGATGAGGTTCCGCTATTCGTCCCCTCATCTTCTTCTGCTTCCTCCTCTTTGTCTGCTTCCTCCACCGTGAGATCTGGGGAAAGGAGTGGTGGAAATGGTGGGCAGGTGAGTGCAGTGTAAGAAGCCCTTCGCATCTTGCTCATCATGAGGAGTCGCCTGCGTTTGTTGAAGGGGTTCTCCGCCTTGAGCATGTCCTTTGCGCTGGCGTTGGCCGCATCTGATAAGCTCGCAAATGACTTGGACTTCCCCGAGAAGAAGTTGGACAACCCTCTCCTGCAAAATGATTTGCGAGAAATCAACACCTCTACCTGAATCCAAATCAAATCACCACTTGATCTGCAACTATGATCCAGCAACATGAATATAGCCACGAGAGAGAGAGAGAGAGACAGAGAGGAGGGCTTACTTGATGGGAAGGGACTCTTCCAGGGAGTCCAAAGAGCCAAAAGCCCCCTCCTTCCTGTTGCTCTCCACCTCCTCCTCATCGTCCTCATGTACGGAGGAGGACGAGGCGGCGCCGATGGAGGAGCTCTCTGAAGACTCCTCCGCCTCTTTGCTCCCCAAAAAGAACCCGTTCCTCTTCCGCACCACCTCGACCTCTTCCTCTTCCTTCTTCTTCGCCGGAAGGACAACGTGGTCCTTCAGCCCCACGTTGGGCAGCACCAGAGAAGACATCATCCGCCTCCTGCACTTCTCCTTCTTTCCTTCTTCTCCTCCTCCAGCCGCCTCTTCTCCGCCTTCTGCTGTTAATCCCCGGTGGCGCTGGTGTCATCAATCGGCAGGGGATCAGCGTACGCCTCTCCGGCGTCCCGGCTCAGCGGGGCATGGCTTCATCCATGGATGGGAACCCTCAAATCACAAAGAGAATGAAAGAGAAGAGAAGAGAGCAAGAAAGGGGATATAAAAAAAGAAGGAAAGAAAGGGGGCGAAGGATGATTGATGAGGAGAGAGAGTGAGGAAGGTTTGACACGTTCCCATCGAGCTCCAAAACGTGTCTACATTCGAGACACCGACGCAGCTTAAAGACCGCAACACAACAACCTGACTCGCCCACACGAATACCAAGTCCTCGCCCTCTCTCTCTCTCTCTCTACGTACGTAGACGGCCGGTACCTTAACT